ATCCATTATTGTTGCACTACTGCCATCTACTGGATCCTAATATCTATACCTCAAATTCTCGTAATGTTCCCAGTATTATTAAAAAATAATAAAAAAAATCTTTTTCCCCTCAATGCTATTTAACTGATCAACAAGATTCTCAAATTTCAATTCCCTATTAAAACCTAATTCCGTTTTAATGGGCACTTTCTTCTAAACCATCTTAATGTTAGCCGACTTTCTCTTAGTCTGTTACACGTCGTCATCTCCTTCTACTTGACGATAGGTGTGAGATTCACTAAAAGCAAAGTTCTGTTTGTGATTCTGATACATATTATTTCTTTAAAATTGAATGAATAAGATGACCATGGTGGAAAATAAATGGTGCCCATCTTGAAAAATTACCATTATTTTGAAATTTAAGTGGCTAATGGGAAATATGAAACATGCACATGTTTCAGGTTGTATCCATACTTCAGTTTTCTTTATTTAGCGGTGTCAGTGCAAAGGAACTAAATACGAATGCATGCCACACTTTTCAGATTTATAGTTGTAACATTATGAAAACATGATCAACAACATTCTCAAATTTCAATTCCCTATTAAAACCTAATTCCGTTTTAATGGGCGCTTTCTTCTTTTATTTCCAATTTTGACTTCCAATGATTCACTTCCTGCTAAAGAGCCCCCTGGTGGTTGAAGAAAAATCCACTTAAAAGCGGCTTATAGTCCAGAAAATACGGTATATGGAAAAAAAAATCTGAATGCTGTCTGGTATTGTGCAGAGGGCCGGACCAAATGTGGAGGCAGGCCAGATCCGGCTGGCGGGCCGTAGTTTTGGGACCACTGCTTTACACGCATAACAACCGAGTAACAACAAATCCAATAGCTGGCAGGACAGACACTGCGTTAAGTATCAGGATTCAGCGCCAAAAACGCAAACATTTCCCACACAAAGAACAGAATAGTCAGTCTGTTATTAGTCAGCTTTTTTTTTTTTTTCTGGCTTTATGTTTATTTTGTGATTACTACAAGTAAACACAGCGGGGTTCCTAACTTAAAAGCCTGCTCCACTGATGCTCTGTCACAGAGTTGGTGTGAGGGTCGCCTTATAAACTGAACCGAAACACACCGAACTGCGCAGCACAACATGTTAAGGTTGTTGAAGTCAAGGGAACATAACTGACCTACTTCCAACTCCCTCGATATACAGGGTTTCCCCCAGAAAACTTGCTAAGCCCGGTGGTCGGTGCGTCGAGTCGGTCCACTGGCGGTCCACCGTGTTTTGGAATAAAATAGGTTAAGTTGACAGGAAATGTAAAAGTATTACTGTGTCATTATATGTTACGGGAAAAGATCTCGAGTGAAATGCTATTTAAACCCACAACTAGTCTAAAAACAACAAATTTGCACTTCTATTTAATCCAAACTAAATCTACCATTTTTCTGAAAGAACGGTAAGCTACCAGTATAAAAAAATACTGGTAGCTACAGACGCCAGGTTTTTTTTTTTTTTTTTTTTTTTAACCTTTTTTTCAAAAAAACAGAAAAAAAAAAAAAAAAAAAAAGCTGGCGTGTGTAGATACCAGTATTTTACTGGACATTTACCTTTTCAATCCTGTAATTATCTTTTAAAGTGGTGTACTGCAAGTAAATACTGTAATGACGCCAACACCCCACAGATGTAGTACCGCAAACAGGGTTTATTAGAAATAAGAGCGAGCTGCTATTCCATAGGCTGCAGCTTGCGCCTCTAACAAACCGTTACACTCAACTGAATAGCTTCACTGCTAACACACTGAACTCTCCGCTCTTCCGGTGTTCTGTCAGATCAGCATCGGTCCTGGTCCTCCTGCTCTCCTGATCCCCCGCCTACATGACAGATAAATCACAAGTGAGTGGAAGTCAGCAGAGTCAGACAGGGGAACCCCATAACATTCTACACATAACAGTGATCACAATGCAACTTATAACAAATACACATAACCATATGGACCCCAGCAGAACTAAAATACAGAATTGTTAAAATACTACGGTGGTTGACAGGTGCAAACGCGCAGCAAACACGAGAAAAACAAATACAACAAAGAAAAGACACAAACTAAAAAGAGATGCAAAACAATATATAAAAATAAGTATTCCAGACCACTAGAGCTTTGTGTCCAAATTCAGGGTCTGCATCCTTTCATGCTTATTCTTTCAAGGGCTTAAGAAATGACCCGGCAGAGAGCATTGCAGAGAAGCTGCAGCCTTCAGTTAGCTGCCTAGCCTCCACATCGATGCTATGTTGCTTAGCAGCAGTGACGCAACATGATTTAAACGATGTTTGTAGGCGAGAATGTAGATGTATAAATCTCACATTTCTGCTCGGTTCATCAGTGCATCACCTAATTGCAATATTGCTCCGACGTTTTCGGAGATGTCTCCTCCTGCTGCATTAACACTTAGCTCCCCTCGCCTGCTGCCAGCTGGTCCAGGTTTAGTGTACCACGGGAGAACACCTGACTTATTTAGGCTTTCCCAAATTACAGTTAGTTAAACACAGATATTAAGTCAGGTAACATCTAGTTGTAATATTTTGGTTCACTCAAATATTTCATTAATTCCTGAGCAAATTGGTTTGACTGATTAAAGTTAGGCCTAAAAACACAATAGTTTGATTAAACTGCATTGTCTTACTTGAGATTTGGAGAGTATTTGAAAAGGGATACTTTGCTTACATTCCTTGTGTAAATGTGCTATACGTGTTTGAACATTTTAGAATCAGACTAAGATTTTTTAAATATGCAACAGCCTTTATTACAAAAGGTGAAGAGTAATGGAGAAATCAGGAGAAAAAAAGACATACTTCGAGTCTGTTTTTTTTTTTCCTTTGCCGCTATGTGATTCACGTTGTCACGGTTGCTAAGCAACATAACGCGACGGTAGAGGTTAAGCTGAAAGCTACAGCTTCTCTCTTCCGGAGGACCCAAGGATGCAAAACCTGACTTCGGACACAGTTGTTCTTTGTTCGACTCCCCCTAGTGGTCTGGATCGCTTCTGTTTTCAGCATTTTTTGTTTGCAGCTCTTTTTTGTTGCATGTGTTTTTCTCGTCTTTATTTGGTGTTTGTACCTGTTGGCCACCGTAAAATACAGTGGTGAAAGTAAATGTACCTTCAAATACTGGCGTCTGTAGGTTCCAGTATTTTTACTGTAAATTTAGTTTTACTACTGCATTCATTTTATGAGTAAGCTACTGCAAAGAAAACTGTAATGCTACTTTTTAAAATACAGTCTTAGTTTTACGATAGAACATTAATACCTAACCTGAATGAGATGCCACTCAAAGTCCATCAGGTTTTTGATGAGGGTGGAAACCTGAACATTGACCGTCACTTTTTATTTTGAATGGTCTTTCTGGATACCATCTTCCCATGACCGGCTTTTGTGCCCCTTTCTGGGTTAATCCCAATGAAGCAACTAAAAAACAAAATAAAAAATGGGAAAATTCCTGAGAATATAAATAGTGTGGCATTTTGAATACAGCTGGTACAATATATAAATAAAGCTGTTTTTAATTACGTAAAAAGAAAACATCACCACCTTTGTCAAATGTTAATCATAACTTGCTTTAAAACCATGTCATTGTAAAAAAAATTAAAGGAATGGTTTTACCGTTGAATGAACCAAAGTCTTGGCTGCCTCATTGGAGGCTGAAGATGAAGAAGATGGACAACATGTCCTATCTGGAAAGTTGGCTGGACCCTCTCAAAGACAATATGGCCTTCAATGCTGACCATGCAGAAAACTGCTTGCCACAGGGACTGTAATAAACCAAGTCCTTAATTGGAAGAACATAAAACAAATCCTCTTATTGATACAGTATGCATTTAAATGATCATCATAATAAAGAGTGTCCACTCTGCCAGGTAAAGTAAAAGCAAGGATCTTAAACTCCTCAATTGTCGTGCAAGTCACATCAATGTTGAAAACTGTAGGCTGGATTAATTTACAGAAGTTGTAGAGGAATTCATGGTACTTTGCACTGAAGGTGAAGTGTGCTTTGAAAGTTCATCAAAAGCTACCTTGGATGATCTTGTGATCACTGATGTGAAGTGTCTGTGGTGCTGCTCTTGTTTTCACCAACATGCAGGAGGAAAGGCTGTCTTGATTGCACGGCAATGAGGAAGGCTTCAACACTGGCTTGCATCTTTGACATAATGATAAGAAGACGAATAATAAAAATTATTAAATATATTTAGCTACATTCAGATAGCAAACAAAGCCAATGAGAAAGTACTTCTACAAAGAAGTAGGATCATTAGAATAACCACATACCTGCACATATCTGAAAACATGGTCCACAGTTTGACATGAGCTGTTTTGGATTCTTCTTGTGGCCTTTGGATGTAGGACGAAGCACATGAACCAACAGAAGAATGCCTGGTTTTCCCAGCCTGGAGGAACAACAGGATAAATAGCAGACACATTAGGATACTAAATGAAGGTCTTCATTACTTGGCGGCACAACACTTGAAATGTGTTAAATGATAAAAGAAATGCATGATGAATGAAATGAAACGGATACAAACAGATTGAAATGTTTTATTGATTGTGTGTTTTATTCAGTTGCATCTCAGCTGGAACTGATGGTGTCCTGTTAAAATACAAACAAAAGGATAATATAAGTATTGTGATTGTTTGAAGGCTTTGTGTGGGTGTGGCTTACCTCTCTCTTCCTCTGCAGGGTGTTCAGGCTAAAAGATTCCCCGGGGGCCTGAGCACCTTTTAAAGGTTCCAGAAGAGACCAAAGCAGATGGAAGAGGGGGAGCAGTAGAGCTAGGCATTTTATAAATTTAATGTTGGATTTATATTGATAAAAATGTGTTTTAGAGATGCTTAAAATTAATAGTATTTGGCAATATATATTATTCTGAGGATTTAGTTAGTTAGTTTGTCAAACTTTGTGTGTATGTATTTTGTTTTACCCTGTTTCTTGGTGGGTTTGTGAATTGGAACAGCCAGCGACTATAAAAGGCTGCATGTTGGCCACAGTGTGTGTTGCTGCTCAG